CGCTGCCTCCGGGGTGCAGCGTCTACCGAGCAGCTGGAAACCCCGAGGGACGCGCCCTGGGCTCGCGGCCCGATTCCCAATCACCCCCTAGTCCCTGTCCTCCGGCAACCCCAAACCTCTTTATTTATTGGGTACCCTGTTAGGTCCGCTGAGGTCGCCGAGTTGAAACCCATTTTACAGCTGGGGAAACTGAGGCCTGGCCAGAGATAGGAAGGGCTTGTTCAGGGTCTTCAGCTCAGCAAGCTTCAAACCCGATGCGCTCCCCTCTGGCGCGGCGAAGACTTTCCAAATGGAACATGGACACCCGTAGTCTTTAGGGTTCAGCAAACTTTTTGGGTAAAAAAGGTTCTGCTGACCCTCAGACCAGCAGCCTTTAGCGGGGTTGCTCAAAGACAGACAGAAAGACTTAAAAGAATTGCCTGTGTGCTCTAGGGAAACAGTATTGACGGTGACTTTCACAGAATTTCTTTTTCTTTTTTTTCCTCAACCATTTTAAAAAGTAGAAACCACATTTAACCAATGGCTGAATAAAAAAGCAAGGCAGACTTCTGTTTTAAGGAATTCCTTTTCTGGTTTCGACTTCCTAAAATGTCTGTTCATTCTCAGGACTGGCCTGCAAATGTATCTCCAGGCTCAGGTCTCTTGTCACCCTTTGAAAAAGTAAATATCGGTCTACCTTACCCCTGCATTCTCCTGACAGTGGGGTCGGGGGTAAAATCCTTTGGACCCCAAATAACAGTACAGATATGTTGGAGTTCATTGGGGAACTGGAAAAGAGCATTATGAACTTGTCTGACCTTGTCTCTCCCTAAAAAGAAAAAAAGTGTGTGTGTATATCTATAGAGAGAAATATATATCTACATAGATATATGTGTATATGGAGATAAACATATGTATATCCATACGCACATATATATGCATGACTTCAGAACTAAGGTATTTTGGCCTCTTTTGACATGTTATAAATCATATACATTATGGAGTGCAGAGTGGGTAGTGATTTCAGATGTCCATCATACTAACTGCCCCCTCGCCCAACACAAGCACACATTTCAGCTATTCTTAATACTCTTCCATGGCATTTGGAAATAAACTGAAAAAAAATGCATGAGGCTCATATCAGAGTAAGAAATCCTTTTGCAAGTCAATATTTGCTTTTTTACGAATGGAAGTCTAATCTAGCTGTCAGTAGAGCATTAAAAAATAATTTTTAAAGATTTATGTATGTATTTATTTATGGGGTACAGGACAGAGATGCAGGGGGGCGAGAGGATTCACCAGCAACAGAGTGGGTGAATCCTTTCACCCACCACACCTTTGGCATGTACCCCAGTTCTCTAAGCATAAGTAAACAAATTTTTTTTAAATATTGCTAAAAATAGAAATAACATTGCTAAAACCTGTCTCATTCTAGCACTTGTATTTATCCAAGTATATGTGAGATGATTGGTGAAGAAAAGTACCCAAATTTACCTTTTCTACTTAATAATTCCTCATCAAGGTCTGTAGCACTGATCTCAGGAGCAGGTGACCAGATATGTGTGTCCAATTGTGCACCTTTAACATTTGAATCTTAATTAACACAGGTTAGAATTACAAGGGTCCGTTTTTATGAGGGTTTTTTCCTATGCCAGATTCTGTTATTCACAAAGTCAATCAACCCCTCATGCTGGTTAGTTGAATCCCTGGATGTGAAACCAATTTATACAGAATGTCCTTAGTTTGAGGGAAGTCAGCGCCCTTAACACATATATCTCAAGAAAGCTGATTGACTTTTTACAAAGATTTTCATTTATTTATGCATACAAGAACGGGGGCATAAGCCCGAAGTGTGTGGGAGTGGGGGTGAGAGGATTCACAAGAGACAAAGTGGGGAGCAGAGCAGGTGGATTGACTGAAATACACTGCTGAGGGGAAGCAGTGGGCGAGACAGGAGAGGTCTGCTGCGCCCTGTGGGTCACCTCTGGGGCCGGGGATCAAACTCATGCTGCAGTGATTGGCGATAGCTTGATAGTGCTGAGAGATTAACTTCTGTGCAATCAGTGAGGCCCAAAGGATATGGGTTTTTTTTTTTTAAAGAATGTGAATTTTTAACACCAGCTTGTTGGCTTAGAGACAAAGTTGCATGGATGGTCACTAGGTTAAGTGTCCTGATATAAAATTTCCCAGAACAAGAAACTTCAGGCTCACTCTCCAGATTCATAAGAAAGTGCTGGTCCGAGTGTGAAAAGTAATCTGACCAGATCCTAAGGTTCTTTACAAAGTCCAAACAGGTTCTTCTTTACTTCCAGACAGCAAAGTGTTTGTAGAACTAAACTGGAGTCCCCAATTTGCCTGCATGGGACACAAGTAAGAAAACAAAAAAATCTGAGATAATAAATGGTTCTGGCCTCTACGATACCTAGTCACTCTCCCCAGCTTTGCAGAGGTTTGGGGGTCAGAAATTCTACCCCCTCACCCAGGTATCCCTCCCAGCCTTCCCCCTCTTGTCTCCCTCTTCCTCCCAGAAACCTCACTTCTCTTCTTAGTGTTTGTTAGTTTTTGTAAGTATTTTGCCTTGTTGAATCATCCGCTATGTAAACGTCCAATATTTGTCTTTGTCATTCTGACTAGTTTTACTACATCATTCCCTGGAACTCCTTCCATTTTGCAACAGTAACCCTTTGTCTTTCCTATGACTGAATAAAATTCCATCGTAGGGATAGACCAGGGCAGCAGCCTGCACCTCAGAAAGGAGCTTAGACCTGGTCTCGAACCGGGGAAGCTGCCCTACTAGGCCAGCGCTAAGCAGGCTGAGTCCATACACAGCACATTTGGAGACACCAAGCTCAAGAAGCTATAGCCTCGTCCCCTTGACAGCCCAGCTGCGAGGCCTCCTTCTCCGGGACGCCTTGCCCAGTCCTCACTGCTCCTTCTAACGCCCACCTCTCCTTCCCCAAGACCTCTAGCTCCCCATCCGTCCCTCTGCTTTGAGGTACCCTTCTCTCAACTTAGAGTAAAACTCCTGGATTAAGAGCATCGGCTTTGGCCCTCCCTGGTGGCGCAGCAGGTTAAAGCACAGCACTAAGAAGCTAGAGCCACTTCCGCATGAGTTCAATCCCCACCTGCCCCGGAGGTGACCACATGGCGCCACAGACCTCTCCTGACCCGCCTGCTGCTCCCCTCAGCAGTGTGCTTCATCTGTCTGCCTGTTCTGCTCCCCACTCTGTCTCTGGGGAATCCTCTCACTGCCCTGGGCCTCTGGCCTGTACCCCAGTTCTGTATGCATAAATAAATAAATCTTTAAAAAAAAAAAAAAAGAGCACGTGCTTCAGGGACAGTGTGATCTGCGCTACAGTCCTGATCTGGGGCAGCCTGCTTCGTGCCTCCATTTCCTCGGCTGTAACTTGAGAGCCATTCTAGTTCTGTCTGAGTGTGGAGAAGGTGCTTAGGGCACCTCAGGGCAGAGATCTCCTGGAAGTCTTGAGTCACTCCACTGCCCAGCAGCTCCTCAGTAATAGGCCATCATGTCTCTATTTTCAGAACAGCTGGGACAGTGGCTGGTCCCAGCTTGGCTCCAGCCCTCTCCAAACTTCCTTGCTCCATGCAAATCTCTCCCCTTTCAGACAATGGCAGCGTGGTGTTTGGGGGGGAGCTGCCAGCCGCTGCTTTGCATAGCTATGCTGGGAACTGGGGCCTTCCACCCCGACCTCTCCACCAAGCAGCACCCCATTGTAAGGGATGCAAACCAAGGTCCCATAATTGAGTCAGCACCCACTGAGGTATTTTCAGGAATTCTAAAAATAGCCCTCATCCTAGTCACTGGCTCCTTCCCTTTCTGCCCGAGCTTTCCTATCTGACATCATGTGCTTTTTCCTTTGCTTCATCAGCCTGTTCCCACTGGTGTCAGTGCCATGAGAGCCGGAGCCTCAGCACTGGGCATCCCTTGGCATTCACTTGTCTGCGGTGTGGATAAACACATGGATGCCATCTGGAAGTTTCCCCTTAGAGCCTCAGACATGGAAATGGGCTCATTTGGTCATTTATACAGTAAACATTTGTTTTGTTTGTGTAGAAGAACTGGGGTATAGGCCAGTGGTGTGGAGAGTCGGTGAGGGTAGTGCGAGAGGATTCACCAGAGACAGAGTGGGGAGCAGAACAGGCAGATCTACGAAGTCCACTGCTGAGGGGAGCAGTGGGAGAGACAGGAAAGGTCTGCCGCGCCATGGGTCAGCTCCCTGGCCGGGATTGAACTCAGACCGTAAAAGTGATAGCACTGAGACTTAACCCCTGGGCCACCAATGAGGTCCAACAAATGTTTGAAGAATATCTTCCATGGAGTAGCCTTTTGGTAAAATCCTGGTGGAGACACCACCTTGCTCTTAAGCAGCTTCCTAGTCAGTGAACAATGGCCCCTGGTGCCCAAGAGCCTGCGATCAAACCTCACGTGCGTCTCCTCTGTGTTAGCACAACAGCTGCTACACAGGAACCATGCCTCCCTGGGACCCCTAAGGAAAAGAAGCTGAGGCCGGTGCGCGGTTATTAGGAGGCTATGAGAGGGCTGAGGAATGAAAAGGACGATGAAGAACGGACGACTCTGGGGCCTGGGAGACTTATCTCCAGCTCTCGCCTGGTCCTTATTTGGAATGTCTTGTCTTCCTGGCTGTGTGCCACTCTCTTTCATGAACTCACTGGCTTGCTCTTCTAGTCTGAATCTGGCGAACAGCCAGTGTGATTGGCTTGGTCAATAGCCCTAATTGTCTCCCAAGGTGAGAGCTTCTAGGCCAGAAGCTCTCTTGGGTTACTGGTTGGCCTAGAAGGTGATCAC